CGACAGGTGGTTGGTGGTGGGGAGCGGCAACGGGCGAGAGTATAAGGTTAAGTGGTTGTTGATTGGTATCATGTGCTATATAAATGGTCAAACTAGTTTGACCAATAACTTTCAAAATGGTGTTTTCAAAACACTTTTGAAAAAAAAAAACACCATGACATGGTGTTTTTCTACAAAAACACAACAAGAAAATCACATTGATTACCAAACATACCCTTCGATCTCTAGCTCCGGAATCTCGTTCAGTAGAGACCTCTCTTTTTTTCCTTTGAGGCAATGGATTTGCTCGGTTTCAGGTAATGAATTCCCTTTTCAACCTGCGAATTTTTTTGTTAAATTTGAGTTTTGTTGATTGCTACAGGTCAATTTGAGATCGTGAGCACTGTATTGGGTGAAAGACCTGAACTTGTGAAGGAAAAAAAATAAAAAAAATAAAATCACCAATCAGAGCATAAAACACTTGCACATTTCATTATTGAGCGAAAGATCTGAACTTGTGGAATGTCAACGTTAAGTTATATAAATTATTCTTTTTTACTAGCCTGTATTTGATTTCGCTTGTCAAGTAATATAACTGATTGCTATGTCAACTTATTATCAGATCCTAGTATGTGGCAACTGAGCTTGTAGCTTAACGGGTACTGTATATTCGCCTATGTTTGGAGTTACTTTGCCTGTATCTACAAACAGACCAGTTATTCGTCGGGCCGGTAGTAGACCTGTTATCTCAGACCAGGGTAAAAAGTTAGCATACTAGTGCTTTTAGATTATTTTTTAAAAATTTTGGTTGATTTTTATTGAGACGCTTGTGTTATATCATTTTGTTAGAATACAGTGAATTTGTAAACGAGGAGGGGTTCTTGTTTCCTGCAGAGGTTGATGAAATGAAGAGTGTAACTATGCCACTACATAGTGCTGCAATATTGCCATCTCCGATTCTTTTATGGAGACTAAAGGTCAGCCTACTTAAACAAAAAGAGAGAATCTTTTTTTTTTTGTTCAAAGTTGGATTGTAATCAATGTGATTTTTTCTCCATTTTGCTCAATAAATTTTGTAGAATTTTTAATAGCTTTTAAAGAAAAGACTATAAGAAGATGCCTTAATATGTTTGAAGGGTTTGCTTCTATCTTTACTCACTAAAAGATGACAATGGATAGACGGGCATTAGTAACTAGACAGATTATCTTAGTATCTTGTATCATTTACTGTTTGATGATTGTTCATGTTTCAGGTTCTTCTATTTATTGTATGGGGTGTCAGCTGTTGCAAGGTCAGTTCTATTGAGGATTCTATTGTGACATATGTTAGGTTTCAAATTTAATAGACTGGTGTATGTAAAAGAATTGGTATCTTCCGATGTTGTGTATGCTAAAATCATGATAGTTTATGAACTGCAGATTAGCTGGGACTCTGTCATGCGAATGAGTGCAGACCTTCAGGATTTATTTCTTTATGAGGCTTTTTTGTATTATAATCCTCTTCTGCTTGTGGTAAGTCCAATCTGTTTTAGTCATCCCATCTGTCACACTCTTAGGTTCTAAACTCTTACCATCTTATGCTAATCACATGTCATCAACTTGATGTTGCAGACCATGATGGTTTGGCTTTGGGGAGTCAATTTATGGGTTTTTGCTCAATCAACAGTGAATTATGCCAGAATATTTGACCTTGACCACACTCATCTTACACACAATGAAATCTGGAAGGTACTACAAGTTTACTTTTGTACAATGATATTAAATTCTGTTTCTGTACTGCCATTTCCTTAAATTTTTTCTAATATAATTATTCGAAACATGTATATAAAAAATCTGTAATTTCATAAAAGCATGACGTCTCTACCAAATGTGATTTCTCTACCCTAAAAGATAACTAATATTTTCTTTCATAATGCTTGCTAAGTCTACATGTCACACCCCCGTTGTCATGTCTCTTAAAATATGCTGCACATTTGGGGGAGTGATGATGATGAAATCTTTATGTAATAAGAACTTAGTGACTCACTAGTTGTTAACTTTTAAACTGTAGCTTGCTACAATCTTTGTATTTAACCTCTGAGACTTCGAATTATCAACAAAGCTTTTTAGGAAGTATTTTTTTTGCAATATGAAAGTGCACAACATGCTTGGTACGTGTTCGTGCACGTGGCGTCAGTGTCATGAACCTCAAGCTGTGCTGCTCATTTGGGGGCATGTGACCACATTAATAAAATAACTCTAATCTTCTGTATTCTTTTGATATCAATGTAACCTTTACTTATTGGAGCTAGCTGCTTCTATATTGGTTAAGGAAATGGTGAGCTGTGTTACTTCATGCTTCTGCACCTTTATTTGTTCTGCTCACTTATTTTTACATGCATTCATCATCACAGCTTTTCAGTTTAATATACAACTTATTATAATCAATGTTCACTGTTTCATTCCTTTGTTATAGATATGGGAACATTATTTTGCACGTATCTGTTTCTTAAAATCTGTTCATTTCTGAGCAATTAACGGTCTAAGACAATGACCTCATACTATTTAGTGTTTTACCTGTCGCTCTTTTGGAATGGTCTAATAGCTGTTTCAAGCAAATATTCTAAGCTCTAGAACTAATTTGGTGTTTAGCGTATGCAAACTAAATTCAAGAAATATAACATATATGCACTTTTTTCCTTTGAGGCTTTTGTTCATAACCTTTATGTTGTATACATGGGGGCTTGCTTCTTTACACTGTGCAAATTCCTATATCCTTGCAGCAATATAGTTGTTTTCTTGGGCTACACTTCTCAGTTGATATCCATCCTTTCTCTCAAAATAATTGCGAAGGATCACTATTTTAAAAAGCCTCCGCCTAGTCCGCCTAGGAGGTACCTTGACCGTCTAACTAGCGCCTAGCGCCTAGACGGTACCTAGGCTACCCATCTAGGTTTTGGAAATGTTTAGGGGAGCATTGTCTGCTTACGTGGACTGTAATTTTTGTGTTGCAGCCTCTACGTCCTTCAACCTCCTTCAAACTCCAATTATGAACACTTCCACTACGTCCTCCGATCTTCAGCAAAATTTCTTCGACCACCACTTAAATGAAGAAAGAAATTCGCTTAGACACCAATCTAGCACCTACGCTTTCTATAACATTAACATTTACTATCAATTAGCGTAATAAAAAAAAAAAAATCTCCTAGGCTCTAGTCGACGGGTCCAACGCCTAGGCTTCCTAGCGCTTTCTATAACCTTGTTAGTTATTATTTTGGTCATTTAGCATTTAAGTATGTATGGTTTATTGCAGATCTAGGATTGCTATCTATTTCTTTTTTGTAAATATATATGAATTTAATACATATTTTTATCAGTTATTATAATTAAATAATTTTAAAAATAGCCAAACGCCTAGGCATTTAGGCGCTGGTTCAAGCGCCTAATTTGCCTAGCGCCTTCTGTAACATTGTGAAGGATACAGACTGATGTTATTGCTATGTGAACAGTGTGCCACGTGGATGACCATCGTTGTCCCAACCAGTATGACGGCTTACCTTTATCTCTACTCACATGGAGAAGTTTCTCTAGCTGCCTCACAACCAGTGTAATATCATTTTTTATCTCAATGTTTATTGATGACTCTGCTAATTAAGTAGTTCAACCTTAATTTTGCATAGTTAGAGGCTGATTGATATTTTGGGTGCACTGCCCTCAATAATTTATAACCAATTTGACGCAGAAAGTTTGCATAATTGAACATTCAAACTATTCTATTGGAGTTAAATGTGGTTTCTTTTAAAGAAAAAGGATGTGCAGTGAAAAGTATCACTAAATATTCTAAGAATGCAATCTATAAGAAGCATGAACTTCTCTTTATCTTCTGCCAATTTGTTTTTTCCCTGCAAAATATTGGTAAAATTTTTTCTGTGCTACTCTTGTGTTGCTCTAAAGTTGTATGAACCTTTTTTCATCCTGATGTATATTATTGTTTTGCTAACTTCTTTCCTCTTTGAACTTGTGGCTACTGGTTCTGCTTCCTCTATTTCTTTTTCTCCTCTCCCCCCTTCCTCTTCTTCCTTCTACCGATCGCCACCTACCCCCACCGTCCCATCCTCTCTGCTGTTCCCTTTGGCCAACACAAGACTGATAACTCTTGTACTCTATCCATATGTCTTTATGTTTTCAACTGGAAGATTTTACGATCCATTAGTACTGTGCATATTGTCTCTTTTTTTTCCTTTGATCATTTTTATATCTATTAATCTGGTTATCTGGTTGTTGCAGGTTATCCTATATGCTGTTGTTTTGATGCTTCTCATATTTCCTTTTGATATATTTTATTTGTCATCTCGGTACTACTTTTTGAGGACCCTTTGGCGCATTATACTACCATTACAGGTTATCTCTCACTCTCTCTCTCTTTGTGTATTGGTGGGAAGATATGCTACTTGTAAAACATTGAAACATGTGAAGTGTGTGGTGTAATATGTACTAGTTAAGTACTATAACATTTATATGGAGCTTTCTTTGTATTTAGTCGATTATTCAAGAAGGCCATTTAACAAAGAGATCTATGAAAACTTTTGAAGTTTCTTTTTGTTTAAAATGCTTTGGAACATACATACTAGGTTCTTCCAGTATCTTAAATTAAGTCTCTCTAACAATTAGACCAAATATCTAAAGTTATGATGAAATCTGGACTCACGCAGCGGTATTAATTTTTAGAAAATCCACTAAATTTGTGCCTGGTGGGATTTGATCCTGGGTTGCTTTGATATCATCTTAAATTACGTCCCTAACCATTTCACTAAAACTCATAAGTTATGCGGAGAATTGTGTTTTATATTTTTATATTCTAACACAGTGAATTAGAGTTGTTTGAAGTTTGAATTATAAGTCCTGTAGACAGGGAACTAAATTGAATAACGTCTTGTTTTCGATACATTTTAAGGATTCTCTTATGGTTTTTAAGGAAGGTTAACCTACTGTACTAGGCGTGGAAACATGCATACGCCATGGCTAATTTTTAAAAACTTAAGATTGTTTCAAGTTCATTATTGGGTAAATATCAGAAAATGCTCCTTAACTTTGGACGATTATCGAAAAACCATCCTTAACTTCCAACTTCCAAAATATCAGAAAACCCCCTTACGTATAGGGATTATCAGAAAACCCCCCTTCAACTTTCGGATTTTATTAGAAAACCCCCTTTTAACATTTAGCTTTTACTAGAAAACCCCCTAATTAGGAATTTCTGATAGCCCCTAAACTTAAAGGGGTGGGGGGTTCTGATATTTTGAAAGTTAAGGGGGGTTTTCTGATAATCGTCCAAAGTTAAGGGGGGTTATGATATTTAGCCTTTATTATTTATAAATTATATGTTTTTCCCTTAGTCCCTAATAGTCCCTCAAATGATTGATGTTGCTGTTAGGTCCCTTAAATCTTAATATTTTGATTTAGTCCCTTATCATTAAAATTTCTATTAGGTCCCTCAATTCTTAGGTTATCCAATTAGTCCCTCAAATCAAGAGCATACATAGAATTTGGAGGGATTAATTTAAAACAACTTATAAGAATTGGTAGACATGATAGTCCATAAGAATAGAGTTCACTTGGTAATCCCTCCAATAGCTACTTCTCCATTGATCGGAGGGACTAATTTGGAAATAACGCAAGAATTCAGCGACTTAATGTCAATGTCAACGATTTGAGGGACTAATTTAAGATTAATAACTTAGTAATTGAGAGGGCCGAATAGCAATTTCAATGATTTGAGGGACTAATATTGAAACAACGCCACCCCCCTCCCCCCACAAAAAAAAAACCCCGGGGGGGGGGGGGGGGGGGTAACTAAGCAGAGAGCAATACTGCAAGATTCTGTACTTATAAAAGAGTAAATTTGGTGCCAAAGATTAAATGTTTTTTGATAACATGCTAATTTGATCTGTTGTTTGGCAAAGATGAAGACCCAAATAATTGATTATGAACATGACATTTTGAAAGCACGTAGATTGTGATGCTTAAGGTGCTTACATATGTAGATATGATAGATGAGATAACTTCCTTTTGATACTCTGGTCTTTATGCTGATTTTTTACATTTAAATAGAAATTGTTTTATGCATTACTGAACTGATATACTTAATAGTTATTTGAATGTTAATAGTAACATGACATTGAATTCATTTCTATGATATGAATCATTCAGAAACTTCAGCTAAACTTTAGTTATAGTATGTATATCTCCAAAAACTCAGAAGAACAATCTTTTATTTGGAACTTATCTATATTTTATTACTTTGGTCTTCAGTGATATGGAGACCTCAAATCTTCGCATCCTAATACTCTTTCATGGATTTTTCTTAATGCAGGCTATATCATTTTCTGATTTTTTCTTGGCTGATATCCTGACATCAATGTCCAAGGTACGTGCTCTATTATTATGTCATGTTGGCCACTCTTATCTCACAAGACAGAAGAAAGGATGGTGGCAGATTACATCTAATGCCCTTTGAAATTGTTATTCATTTGATGCTTACAGTTTAGACAAATAGGTCCATGCTACTCTCATTAGGCAGCTTGCTTGCATCAATGATGAAAGTGATGCAAGTGAGAGACATGTCCATTATAGAACTATGAGAATCCTGCAATGCAAGTTATGTATTGTCGAAAAAATTTATGGTAAATCTTGGGACATTCATTTCTTTATCAGGTGCTTTCAGATTTGGAGCGTTCAGTTTGTCGGATGGTGAACCGCCAGGTTAGTATAGATTTTTTTCTCTTTGCTAATATAGGATTAGAAACAGAATAAGTCACACTAACCATTATTCTTGGTCTCTGAAGGAGCTAGATTCCTTTTCTTTGTAAATATTTGCACTAAATAACTTTAATAACAAGTCGTAATTGATTGGATACCAATGAACACTACTTTTTTTCTTTCGTTTTGTTATTTATTGCTAAATATAAAATATTAGTATTTAAGATCCAATAGCTTGCATGCAACAAATTTAAATGATGAGAATGTTATCATATCTTTGTATTGTTGCTCCCTTTTATATAGGCTTTGCAATGCTGAGACTCATCATTCTTGATCAACATAAATAAGATAGGGATTTCAGATTCTGTGCCATATGCATTATATCTGAAAATTTAGAAAGGTATCAAGAAGAGATCCGATACAAATCAAATCAATTTGAGAGGAAGAACAACTTGAGCTGTTTTTTCTTGCAATTTGTACCCACAGGGCTTGGTTAGCTTTAACATAACATAAACGTTTTGGCCTTTGTTATTTGTCCATGTTGCATACTATCTATAGTATGAGTCCGTGGGCATTCCCAATTAGCTGTGGAATATATGTTGGAGTCTTGTGTAATTGGGCAGATCTATCGTGTAACCTTTATCGCTTTACTTAAGAAATTCCTTATCTTGTGTCATTTGATAACTTGATCTCACACTTAATAGATGGCACAAGCTAATATCTTTATGCTTTCAATGACTTAGGTTTTGTTTGAGTTTTGTGCCTTTACTGTTGAGGAATTTCTTTTTGCTTTGGTGGCCATTAACAGAATAACAGGGAGCCTCTATTTTCATTGAGATCAGAAAGAGCATTATTTTACAGATTTTCGGTTTGAATACTGGACATAGCTGGTCTTGAACCTGTGACCTCTTATGACCCTGAACCAAAAGAGATGCTAAGATGTTGATTTTTTTTTTCAAGTTGATTCTATTTTGTTCAAGTTTTTCTATTGTAGCTTCCAATCATTGCTATGATATAAGGTCCCAGTAGTAGTAGATAGTGTGCTACTGCAGAAGTATTTCAAATTAACCCATCAACTTATGAATACACCACCCTTCCGGATCTTTTCTTTACATTCTCATTATTATACACAGTTTCCTTACGTCTGTACTGAGAATCTTACTTATTCATGGTTTCTCAGGTTGCAACAATTGCATGGTTTGAGGCTGATTCCATTTGTGGTAGTCATTCTGTTGCAATTCCTTTGGTTCTTGTTCTCCCCTATTTATGTCGGTTATTTCAATGCCTACGTCAGTACAGGGACACAAAGGAAAAAACGTCACTTTTGAATGGTATTTCCTCTCTGATGGTAGTTTTTTCTTCTATACTCTGAACTACTGGTAACTTTTTTCTCCTATAATTCATGACCTGCTGTTTGGATACTAACCATCATTTTAATTTCTGAGGGAAATGCATGAGATTTGGTCTTTTATTTTATTTGAGCCAAGGGTGTTTCCATATTTTTACAGCGTGATGTTTGGTAAAATATTTTTCCAATAATTGTCAGTTGAAGCTTGGATAGGAGTGCTTAGTTATGGAGCTTGGTGACTGCTGATATATTTATTTTCAGAATTTTTTGCATAAAAATTCATCAGCATCCATATCATATTCAGATCATTGTAGTGATATTATGGCCATTAGGGGTATTTGTTTCCATGATCTAGGAGGAGATTGTTCAACTTTGCATTGAGAAATGAGGCCCAGATGTTTCTAATCCTGGATGTTTGGCAAATACACTGTTTAGTTGGCATTTTTCATATTCGAGATCTGGGGTTCTGCATAAGATGGATGCATCAAATGTGACCTCCTAAAATTATGCTAAATTCAGTTGGATTTGTAACTTTAGTCGGATATCCTCAAAAACATGCATGTGTAACCAAAAAAGTTTTTTCTAGAATTTTTCCTTCATGCAAATCCTCTTCAATTGCCATTGCAAACAAATAAGATTTTTGAGTATGGATTTTTTTAAGGTCCCTTACATGCATCAAAATCCTTAGACGCAATCCACAAAATAAACAGTGCCCTTTAATAATTAATAGCATCAACATGGATCATAACTGAAAATGCATAATCTACTGTCCTCAATAAGAGTAATAAATGCCACAGTTGAGAAAATATAACGTTGGAATCATCTGCAAAATGTTACATTTTCAGTTTCCTTAATAGATGTCCTTATAGAGATTTCTTCAGCTGCATATGGTTACGTGACACAAGATTCACAATGCATCACCTTGGATCTTTCATATTCCACAAAATTTCTCGCGGATCTTGAGATATATATTTTCCATATTCTCCTTTTGGTCCTACAATGACAGAAATTGCTTATTCTTTGTCAGCTTTAAAGTATTCAACAGCAGTTCCAGTTATCCTTTTGTCAGCCCTCAAGTATCACGTTTTCCCAGAAAAGTGGATCAACTTTTATCGCCCTCTTTGGCTTATGTCGAGTGTTATTAATTCATTATATTCATTTTACTGGGATCTGGCTCGTGATTGGGACTTGAGGTATGTATAATTCCTTCTCAGAATCCTGCAAACCTCTAAAATTCCGGTTCCAGATAATTAATTCATTTTGTTACAGTGTTTTCTCCCGAATTTTCAAATTCAAAAGTCCCCATATCTGCACGACGATCTTTTATGGGCGACAATGGGTATGTCTATTTGGTCCACTTACCAGTTCTTTAACTCTAACCTTAACCATAAACTTACCTTTATTCAAACTATTGTATTGAATACTGCAGGTCTATTATTGGGTAATAAGTAGTAACTTAATCCTTAGATGCACGTGGACTTATAAACTCTCAGCCCATCTTCGTCACAACTACATTACCGTATTCACAATCACAGCTCTGGAGATATTCCGACGCTTCCAGTGGATTTTCTTCCGTGTTGAGAATGAATGGAACAAGATGACGGCCTTCAAGACAAGCGTGGAGCTTGCCATGGATGAGATTGGTCCAAAGGAGGATGATAGATTACTTGGATCATCAAACCATGAGATCTGAATAAAATTTTATCAGCTATTCTCTTTATCAACTATTTTGGATGCTTGTGGTTTTCCAAGATTTTGAGATTTTGTTTAGCCTCATTGTTTGCTACTATACGAACCAAAATTCTTGTTTCTTGTTATACTTCCATCAATCATAATTTTTTTTTAATTGACGATCAAAAACTCTTTTATTTTTTTTATAGGTCAATAAATTTTTTTCCATTCACATAGTAATGAAGTTCAAGTACAGCATGAAACTCGGTCATACCAGAGTGTACAAGATTGATGTATCGCAAGATAAACCCTCAAGCAGGTAACAATCAGGAGGCGGGGGGAGGGGGGCGTGGGTGGTCGTGGGTGGGGGATGAACCATCATCAAGCTATTCACCCACCCACTTGATACTTGTCAGGAAATCGGCCATGGAGAACAATCATAAGGACATTAGGTTTGATGACTTTGGTAAGGTGCTCAGCAGGTCTTCTAATGTCATTATGCACTCTAGAGTTCCTCTCGAGCCACACCGTATAAATGGCTGAGGCAAACGCAAGCCTCACGACTTTTTGTGTATAGTTGGACCTCCTCTGCTTACTAATAAACCAATTGAATATATGATCCAATCGCAGCTACGAAATCTGAATTTTAACCAATCCATAATTCCATTCCAAATGGTTGAACTATATACACGAGAAGAATAAATGATGACGTCATTCAAGGTAGGAGTTCCAGAGAACACGTGGGGGATTTGGAATATTAACCCCAAAATTTTCCAACCTGTCATATGTAAAAAAAAATTTGTTTACAGGAATCCATGCCATGAATGAGTATTTAGGCAAGTTAATTTTTGACCAAACAATGGCATGCCAAGGAACTGCAGAGGTTTGAAGGAGGAAAGCAGGGCAAGCAAGAGAAATTCTAAATCTCTCATTGATGGTACAATTATCAAAGACCTAAATAACACCTTCAATAGAGCTACACTCAGATAAGGCCATCTCTCTTATTTTCGGCAGTTGTTTCCAAAACCAACAAGAGTTCTATTTAATTGGTACATCCCAAATAGAGCACCTTTGCAAGTAGTTGCCATGTGTCCACTGTATCCACACTAGTGTGCACCCGTGCAAAGCAAGACTCCCTATTTTTTTTAAGTATTATATTTTGAACTTATCTCCCTCTAAGTTTTAATACATCTAATTTGATTATTATATGCTTAAAATTAGATATTATATCTGTTATGGTGTTCACTCACCCAAGACACGGGTATTTACAAAATGATACAATAAGAGTCATAGTAAAATGACCTCAACCCACTTAAGTGGCCCAAGCCTAACAAAGGCCTCGACCCCGCCGACTCATCAAGTCGACATTCTTTCATGCCGACACGAAAGGCGGGATCGGTCGACCCTTTCGTCGAGGACGACCCCACCTTGGGCACTCAACCACTCACTATGCAACTCTTGGAGAAAACTTGAGGGACATTCCCTAGTGTCGACTAAGTTGAGGACTCGACCCCTGCCTCAAGCCTCTCTTCTAGAGCATATGTCAGCATTTCAGTCCACCTCGGACAATCCTTATCCAGATTTTGGCCTGATAGTCTCCATGACTTGTCAACTGCCCACGTGCCTTTTGCCATGCTCTTAATCACTTCTCGAAAAATACTGAAACACCATTTCCCATGCCGAAGTGAATTCCCCTACAATCGCCAGCCGACACCTGTAAAGCGATGGATGATTCAGCATGCCAGCGTGCCTCTTGCCATGCTCTCAATCACTTCCCGGAAAATACGGAGACACCATCTCCCGTGCCGAAGTGATTTCCCCTCCAGTCGTCAGCCGACACCTGTAAAGTAAGGGATGACTCTGCTCTTAGCCCGCACTTCATCACCGCCTCCTTATTTTGGGCTAGGGGGTGACCTATTTTATCCCGATGTCGGAGATATATACAGGTAGACTCCTAACCTCTAAAGGGGGCTAGATAAAAAAAAGCTCAAGCTAAGGTGACCACACTTCCTCTCTCGCTCTCACCCTCGAAAGAAAAAAGAACACACAGTTCTTCGTCTAGACAAAGGAGCTCACGTAGATCCTCTGGGCATGCACATTGCCACTTCAAGAACCACATTGGTTCCTGACCTTCCCCTTCCCTACTCGAGTTTCACTAACTTGACCGTCGGAGGAACTACGGGGGAACCGGTCCTCACCCTCTCACGAGTTCTTCTTGTCTGTGCGGCGTGGACATCAAGCCCCCGTTTAAGATCCAGGTATAAAGTCGAAGAAGGAAACGTCCCCTCTATCACTCTCCCTTGCCACGTCTCGGTGAGGACTCAGGGGGACCGATCCAGTTCCAGATCAGAATCGATCCCAACCTGGATCCGATTGACTGTTTGGTCGTAGTCATCAACAGTTTGATGCCCACCGTGGGGCTACTTTTCTTTTTTAAGAAGACATGCCAAGTTTTGAACAAGAGTCTGATTCTACTCACCTTGAAGAACAACATCGAAGTTGTATCATCCAAGCTAAATGAAGTCAGGAGTTGTATTATTCAAGCTAAGGAGGGTTAGCTTTGGCTAAGAGGAACCAACATAGGCGTAGTCCTCGAAGGCCTCAGCGACTTATCTGGGGAGTGTTTGCTAAGCACATCATCTGCTAGTTGGTAGAGTGACCTTCAACCCCTCTAAAAAGCCTCCAGAAGAAGACACACCATAAGGGTGATTATCTTTCTTGAAAAGCAACCCCGACTTCTAATCACCATCACATAATAACTTTGGCCAAAACACAGGATCCAATCAGGTCAAATATCACTTAAGCTCTAACTGACAATAGCTCATATGAGCATAGGAGTAGTGATTAAGTCTGTGGTAGGCGCCTTGGACCATGAGGATTCTTTGAAGGGAACTCCCATATGCCGAGAATGAGATTACAGGAAAATCTTAGGGCCTGTCAGCTGATTGTCTTCTCAGGAAGAATGACCTTAGCCCTTCAACTGACGCCCACTAAAATTTCCTAAGCTTTGGTGGTCGAAGCATGTGACCCGTATGATCCCCATAAGGGAGAGTTCTACATTTACAGCATAGTCCAGCGCCCAGTGCTCCCGAAGCTCCTTCGAGAAAACCGCTACGGTTTGTCATTTTCAGGTAATACAATACCGGCTGGTGGATTCTCTCTCCAAGAGAATTTTCACCATAAAAGGTACCATGTAGCTTCTGGTCGTGCCCCTAACCCTCACGAACCCGACCTAGAAAACACCATTCAACATGATTCGTGGTGTCTGGACAGTTCCTTTTTCTAAAAGCCGGCATGGCAACCATCCGCCTTCAAGGCCTTATTAAAGATTCAAACTCAAAAGGAACCTTGGCTGATGAGATAATAAATAGAGTTTTGACTCATCTTCATCTATCATTGAGTCCTCCGCTATGGTAAAAGCAAAATCCAACTAAAGAGGTTCTATACTGGTGACTTCATCCACTACAAAACTGCCTTGGAAATAGAGACAAAGCAAGATCACAAGTGGGATCAAGCTTTCACTAGGGCTGAAGACTTAGGCACCACGTAAGACCTAGAGACCCCCAACAAGATCTTGGTATCTCTTCAGGATAAACCTGAGGCACAACCCTATGGTCGACTCCCATAGTCGCCACTCGACCATACGAGAATTCTGAAGACCTAAGCACCTACGTAAGACCTAGGCACCCAACCTCAAGGTTGTCATTCATCCTCAAGGCTGCCAAAGACCTAGTCAACTCTTAAGAGTTCTGTGCATTCAACTCCTTAGTCGAATTTCAAGCCCTTGGTACCTCTTCAGGGTAAACCCAATGTATAACATATGGTCGAATCCTCTAGTCCAACTCGACCATCATGGTTAATTACAAGTGCTTGGTACCTTTTCAGGGTAAACCCAAGGCACAACGTATGGTCGAATCCTGTAGTGCAACTCGACCATCATGGTTAATTACAAGGGCATGGTTAATTACAAGCCTTTGATACCTCTTTAGGGTAAACCCAAGGCATAACATATGGTCGAATCCACCAGTACAACTCGACCATCATGGTTAATTACAAGCCCTTGGTACCTCTTCAGGGTAAACCCAAGGTACAACATATGGTCGAATCCTCCAGTGCAACTCGACCATCATGGTTAATTTCAAGCCATTGGTACCTCTTCAGGGTAAACCCAAGATGTAACATATGGTCGAATCCTCTAATATAACTTGACCATCATGGTTAATCAAAAACCCAAGCGTCCAAATAAGTCCTGGGCAACCCAACCTCAGGGTTGATATGCCAACAAGACCTTGGTACCTCTTCAGGATAAACCCAAGGCACAACCCTATGGTCGACTCCTACAATCGCACTCGACTATACGAGGTTATGAAGACCTAAGCACCTACGTAAGACCTAGGCACCCAACCTCAGGGTTGTCACTCTGCCAAAAAAGATATTCATATGCCTAAGGTATGAATATTAAGTATATGGTCAATACTTAATTGATCTAGAAACTTAAGCAGTCGTCTGTCAAGTTCTGGTCAATTAAACGCTCAGCCAAACTAAGGCATCAGGTGAACTAGTTATCATAAGTCCCCAGCACGAGTTGTCACATTACAGCTAACTCATTTCAGCCTACATTTCAGACAAGAACAAAGCTACAAAGCTAAAAGAATATAAACAATGAAGGCAAGCTCAAGAATGGAGACAAAAGTTAATTTTCATTCAATAAGAGTAAACTTCATTACAAACTTCTCTAAAAAAAAGAGACATGTAGGTATTTAAAGCTCTAGACCATATCCGAGAGTTAGACTTGACGGCCTCCTGGTGGTAGTAGTTGCAGAAGATTCCCCAGGGGCCCCAGCAACAAGATCGACCTCATCGTCACTCGCTGATAAATCCAACCTGCCTCCACTCTTCTCGACATCTTTCAACAAATTGAGACAAGAGGAGTCGCGGGAAGGATAGAAGTGGTCTGGAGCAGGATGAGAGTTGCGAGGAACTAGAGAAGCGAAGTAGTTGACTCCGGCCTTACATGCCAAAGCTACTTCGACCCTTCCTAAGAGACCATAACGCTGTTAGGACTCATGTTTATGAGCCTACTATCTAATCTTGTTTTGATGATTTACAAACAATCCCTAATATCGTTTGTCTAGTGTTCGTACTTACTTATTAGGTATTTTAGACAAATAATATTGTTGGAGATTGGT